AAAAAAAAAAAGGGTAAACAACGCCACACATACATGCCCCCACCCTGCACACTGGTATAGTTCTATTAACCAAAGAAGGACACAAAAGAAAAACAACAACAACAAAAAAAGACGAAAAAAACGAAGTCGTACCATAACGTATGAGCGCAGCTGCGACTATCATTGTAGACTTTGGGTCCTCCTCCGTGAAGGCTGGGACGGCGTCAGAATCTCTGCCGTCGCTTATCTTTCCCAGCGTTGTTGGCGTGCCAGCGAAGAAGACGGGTTTGATACGACGCAACAAATTAGCACAGGATGCGTCACCGCTCGCACCATTCGTTGTTGGCGCTGAAGCTTTGCACGAGATGCACCGGGCCACTCTGCACCATCCCATCCAGCACGGCATCGTGAAGGACTGGCCAAGGATGGAGCAAATCATTCACCACACATTTACGGAGTTTGGGTTGAATGCGGAGGAAACCTCCCTTGTGTGTACCGAGTCGCTCTTCACGCCAAAGAGCTGCTCGGAGCAGCTGGCCGAGCTGCTGTTCGGAGCGTTCGATGTGGCCTCGCTGGCGTTTATTCCCTCCGGAATATGCTCTTTGTACGCTAGTGGGCGCACAACTGGCATCGTTTTAGACTCTGGCGACGGTGTCACACAGGTGACGCCTGTGTACGACTCCTACATCATCCGCAACGCGGCCAACCGCTTCAACCACGGCGGCCAAGACGTGACGGAACACCTGCGCACCCTACTGTTTGAGCGGGGATTGAACTTCACGTCGCCGCAGGACAGGTTGACAGTTAAGGGTATCAAAGAGCGCCTCTGCTACGTGTCACCCGTGTACGAGAAGGAGCTTCACGAGGAAGAGAAGCAGCATCTATTCGCGCTGCCTGACGGACAGGAGGTGCATATTGGACGGGAGGCTTTTCGTGCGCCGGAGATCCTCTTCTCTCCGCACATCACCATGTTGGAGCTCCCCTCGATGCAGGATTTTGTTGTTGATGCTGTGAAGGGCTGCAGTATCGATATTCGCAAGAACATGCTGTCCAGCATTATTCTCAGCGGTGGGAACACCATGTTCATGGGATTTGCATCGCGGCTGGCGGAGGAGGTGCTGAAGGAGTTCCCGGGCCTCTTCGGGACTGCAAAGGTGATTGATGCGCCTGACCGGCTGTACAGCGTGTGGTCGGGTGCGAGTGTGCTGGCGGGGCTTGCGTCGTTCTCCGAGCAGTTGGTGACACGCGACGTGTTTGACGAGAATGGGCCGGGCATCATCCACAGTTATGGCCACAGTACAATGACGGGCGATGAGGAAGAGTTGTCGGCGGAAGAGGGGAGGTGAGTTATTACCTTGTGGCCGTTTTTAAAGGAATTTCAATGGCCTATCTCGTTTCTGATATCATTGTCTTTTTTTTATATTTTATTTATGAGTTCGTTTCTTCTTCCCCCTCCTCTCTCATATCGGTGTTTTCCATTCAGTTCATTTTGACGCACGTTGACGAGAATAAAATGCGTGTGCTGCGTATATCTATCCATCGATCGATTTATATTTGTGTTCCGGGGGCACATTCCCTGGCAGGTGCCGTCACTGTGCTTCGCCAAGTTGTCACTTTCTTTTTTTTTTTTGTTTGTTGTTGTTCTGTTTGGCTCGTTTCTTTCGTGGCTTTGTCCGGCCGCCACCACCCTTGTAGCCTTTCCTGGGCTTGGTACACTGCCGCCGTGCCATGACGGAGCTTGTGGTGTATGAGAACCACGACGTGTTCCTAGAGCACCCAACACGCACCCGCATCCCCCTGGAGTTGAGCACACTAGAGAAATTCTTGTCATTCGTCTCGGCGAGCATTGCGGCATCCTACGGGGACGCAACGGCAGCTGGTCGCTACCGCTTCGTCTACTCAGTGACAGGGAAGCCACTGTGGCGCGTGACGGACTGCCGTGAGGCTGGGAAGGTTGTTGTGAGCTGCACACCTGGCTTCCTGCAGCGAAAGCATGGACCGCGTGTTCAACCAGAGAAGGAAAGGACATCAGCGCATCGACAGGCCGCAGGTGCCGCCACCACCACCGCCGCCGCCGCCGCCTCCGCCGTGTCTGTAGCTACACCTCCTAGGAGGGCGTCTCTGCCTTGTGGAGGATGTTCAAGCGGGGGGTTTTCACCACTGAGGGGGTCGACTGAAAGCGATTCAATACGTGGCAGTGGTGTTTCTTGTGGCGGCAGTGATGCTGAACCAAGCCGTGTCGCTGTCGCTGTTGATGGGCGGCGGGTGGTGCTGCTTCCAACTCCCCGCTTCACGGATCCAGCGCTCGGGGCCGGGACGGAGGTGCCACACTTGGAGAGGCTGGCAGCAGTGCAGACACTCATTTCATTAAAGCTTATTGGGCGCCCGTTTCTAGAAAGCGAGCTGCTCTTCCGCACGGAGTTGGAGGCACGCTTACGACCCATCATTTTCGGGCCGGCAATAAAGTATGAGAAGTCTCCCACCCGTATAGTTATTGAGGGCCCGCCGAAGAGTGGTGTGTCGACAGCGCTGGCGTACTGTAGCTATTTGGCAACATCTGCGCCGGGAGGAAAGTTTAGCGGCTGTTTGTTCCTTCCGCTCAACTTTGAACTGCTTTTTGATGACGTGTGGATTCAGTCAATAGACGGGGAGCGCCCTGACTCGAGCAGCACTGTTGGAGGCGGTGATGCCAGACGACATGAGACAACTCTTTTGGATGTTCCTTTCTTCTTCACGACGGTGGTGCGGTGGGTGGTGGACTGTGCAGTAGCACAGCGACCGGCCCTGCGAGACGGCAGCGATGTACTTATTGAGGCGTGGGAGAAGTTGGTGACAGACCACCACAACAACAGCAGCAGCAGCAGCAGCACCCCGGTGCGCTTCGGTGGCTCGCAATTGGCGCGGCTCGTTGGCCATCGGACGTTGTACCAGTGGGAGGCCTTTGCGGCAGCGGCGATACATGTTTTGCGTGCAGTAGTGGCTTCGCCACATGATGTGCAGTTGCGTGACGCATTTATTGAGACTGTGCTGGTGGCTTTTGTGGCGCAAATGGCGTCGTCTCTGCACTTCTCTGGCGTACTGTATGTCGTTGATGGTCTGCGCTGCATTTCAACAGTGCTGCAGCATCGCGTGCAGCGACCAGCAGGTGATGCCGGCGTCTTTCTCCGGTGTGTGATGCAAAAGAAGTGGGCGCATGTCATTGCCGGAGTCGACACACTCGCACTTTCACCGTGCAGCATGCTGTTTCCCGCCCACGTGCACCGCGTAGGGCTGCTGCACCTTCTCTCCCCCGCGGTGCTCACGACAGGCTACGGGTTCCCAGGGGCCATTCAGTGCGGTGGGAAGAGGTTCCCGCTGCAGCTGCTGTTGGGTGCGCCTGGTTACCTGCAGGCGTTGCACGCGCTG